GGGTGGGGGGATGAGGTAATTGAGTTATGGGCATTAGGAGGACACTTGATGTAATGAGCACTGGTTATTATATGCAACTGATGAATCATTAAATTCTTCCCTTGAAACTAATACATTATATGTGAACTAATTTTAATTTAAATAAAAAATTAAAATAGAAAAAATATATATAATCACTTTCCAAGTTAAAAAAAAAAAGAAAGTTTGATTTCCCAAAATTTTGGTGAGGATTTGAAGCAATGAGTGCTCTGTATTTTTGCTGGTAGTAGTGTAAATTGATATAACTTCTTAGGAAAACTTGCATTATCTTATACTCTGATACAATTAATCATCCCACTGCTAGGAGTATACAGCTTGCATATGTATGGCAAGTAGCATATACAGGAATGTTCACAGCATCCTTATTTACAGTGGCAAAAAACTAAAAACAAGCCAAATGTCCATTAACAGAGACTGGATAAATATTTTGTGGTTTGCATAAGAAAGGTAATACATTACAGCAGTGAAAATGAGGGAATCACAGTTAAAAGCATCAGTATGGCTAATCTCAAAGATATAATGTTTGGAGAAAAGATCAAAATAAAGAAGATTATATAATGTGCAATTTCATTATTTAAAAGATCAAAAACAAAATAAGTGAACAATATATCATTTAGGTATAGTATATACATAATAAAACTATATTAAAGGAAGGGAATGATAAATTCAGAATTCCAAATAGTTACATCTGAATGAAGGGAGAAGAAAATTATTGGAATATGGACAAAGGACAATTCAAATATATTAGTACTCATATATTTTTAAACAGTCATTATATATATTTTAAATTAGTAGTTATATGTAGTTATATGTATTTTAAATGTACTTGAACTTTTTAAAATATTCTTTTAATCATATACATGTTATATATATTGTCTTCTACACATAAAATATATGATACTAGAAATTAAAGAAAAATTACTTAATTTCCATTGAATTAAGTAATGTAGGAAGACTAGAAATAATTTCAAATGGTCTTTAAATTATTGGAGTTAGCTAAAAGAAATCAACCTAAAATCACTGCTGAACTTCAGATAAAGGTTCATTAAGACATTGGACAAGCTACAGTCATCTGAGGTTTCACTAGGGTTGAAATATCCACTTCCAAAATGACTCACTAACATGCTATATTTGTGCTGGCTCTTGGTAGGAGCAAGGGTACAACATGGGTTTTTCCATGGGGTTTTTGGAGGATCCTTACAACATGGTCATTGGCTTCCTCCAGCATGAGTGACCGAAGGAAGGGCAAAGCCAAAAGTTTAAATGTCATTCAAAACAGTTTCAGACATTGCACATGGACATTTCTGCAATATTGTATTGGCTCAGTGGGTCACCCCTCTCCAATAAGGTATGGACTTACACAAGGGTGTGAATACTAGGAAGCAGGGATCACTGGATGCTACATTAATAGCCTGTTATCAGAATTGGAATCTGATATTTTACCAGTCACAGGTCAAAAGTCATGTGTAAGGGGCCTAGTACTTTTTTTCCCTAGGAGACTCTTTTGAATCTAAGTAACACATAAAATTTGTACATGAGAGGAGGGATTTCACTCAGTTCCATCCAGCAGCCCTCAAATTCCAACTAAACTTGAATGTGTGATGAGACCAGGGGATAGAGTGTTTATCTCCTACCATCAAAAGATTCTGATCCTTAGGGCCCTACCTAGTCAAAATGTTCAGTTATAAACTGAATTTATCATCATTCTCTTGTTTAAAATCTTTAAATTATTTCTTCCTCACCTACTCTTGTGATTACCTGTTACTGTATAGCAACTATACCAAAGTTAGTGGTTTAAACAACAACTTATATTTTTTCCTATGATTCTGTGAGTGGATTTTCTTATGAAGCTCTCCCTTGGACTTTCTCATGCAGATAATCACTGGAGCTGGAGTCTTATGAAGGATCATATGGACTGGACTTCAAATATGATCACATACATGGGTGGTAGTCAGATGCTGACTGTTGGCTGAGAGCTCAGATGGGGCTGTTAACTAGAGTATCAACACAGGGTCTTTCTGTGTGGTCTGGACTTCTTACAGCATGGGGGTGTCAGGATAGTAGTACTTCTTTCATTGTTGGTAAGCACTTCCAGCAGGCAAAGCAGAAGCTGCCAGACCTCTTAGACTAGGTTGAGCAATGGCGTTATGCCATTTCTTTCATACTCTATTGGTCAAGCATGAATTTGTATTCCCCAGCACCTAGAACATCAAACATTCAGTAATGTTTAATGAATGAGTCAATATATTAATTCATAATGATTTTGATAATTAGAGCAACTGCATTTAATTTCATAATGCTTCACAGGTTTAGAAGACTTTATTTCTTCCATTAACATGTTATTTTGAGTAAATGTCTTTAACTTCCCCTCCTTGGATCTGTGTTTCTCAATTTTCCAATGAGGATGTTGGACAAAGAGGTCTCTGAAGGACATTCTACAATTCTCCTATTGTTGGCTGGAATATCAAGAGTGGGAGTCAAGAGATACTCTGGAAAATAAAGTTATTGTTCCCATATTAAAATCTCAGATAATCCTTGGGAAGGCCATCTTCATCTCTTATTCTATCAGAGGGATCATTTTTGAGCAAGCTTTGTGAGAAATACACTAGCACGAAAACAGTCTGGAAATGGAGTCATCACAGAGAATTTTCATTCTATTGTTTCATATTGGCTCTTAGAAACAACTTATTTCCAAAATGAAAACATATGCCCACTGAACTATGTGTGCATATTTGCATTAATAGAATATATTTAAAGAATTATCACATAGTATTTTAAATTAAATAATTTTATTCAAATTGTAATAATTTGTTAAGTTCTATGAGCTCAGAATCTATGAAAAAGGAAGAACACTTTGCTTAAAGTACTTAACACTGCTACTGACATACATGTGAAAAATTATCAGGGGAGAATCTGATCACTAGAAGTACACATTCTTTCATAAAATCTTTCAAAATTAGTAACACTTGATGTTGTTGTCTGTTTCTAATTCCTCCTTGTTCTAGGGGTAATTTGAGTCCAGTAAGGAGAACAATTCTATACATTAAGACACTGGGATTTGGGCTACAACAAAGAGCAGAATAGGAACCACAGACCAATGAAGAAATACGTTCGATGGAGGAAAGTGTTCTGAAGGTATATTTTTGAGACGAGTTTACTAAAAGAAAAGAAAAAAATCAAAATTAGAAGGAAAACAGACAGATAATCTGAAATCCCTCAACATATCTGATCTTATGGATTAGCTAGAGTTAAGAACTTGGAGTAAAGAAAACTTTTGTTCCTTGTGCCTCATGTTTCAAGGTCTGAAGTGAGAACAGTAAGGAAGAAAGGAATTTCATAGAAAATACTACTCAAAGCACAGTGCATGACATCCAAGGCTTTCTTTTTTTCACACTTCCTCCCTCCTTTTTATGTTTCATACATCAATCTTAGTTGCTTAGAGGAGAATAAAAACATGAATAAGATTCCACTGTAATCAAAGGGAGGACCAAGAGTTAGGGCAGAAGCAGTATGGAGACACCAACTGGAGGATTAGATAGAGATAGAGTTCTAGGTAAGGAAGGTAAAATAACCAGACACCCCAAACTAAGTTGTAGGCAGAAAAGGAATGGCAGGGTGCCTGGGTGGCTCAGTCATTAAGCGTCTGCCTTCGGCTCAGGTCGTGATCCCAGGGTCCTGGGATTGAGTCTCGCATCGGGCTTCCTGCTCGGTGGGAAGCCTGCTTCTCCCTCTCCC